TATACTAATGAAGTTGTAAAAAAACAGAATGATACTAATAATGTCGAAAAATTAGGTGGTTATTTGACCCAAAATATCTCTGCCGCAATGATGAATTATAAACGAAATAAAATCGTGAATTACATCACATGTCACCTTGCACAAAACAACTCGAGAGAAGAGAATGATGGCTGAATGATAATATGAATGTTACGAGCAAAACAGTCACTTTGACATGATCTGCGATGATCAATTGGTGTGGTACTATTGACAGATCGAAAGAATTGAAACAGAACACAATTATGATCACATTTATGATCAGAACGACAAACCATTTACTTATTACTATGCCATACAACTGTTGATCAATTCCAATATTCATGGAAAAAAGAAGCGATATTCCGTCGAAGAATTAGATTTTCCAATAACCAAATTTATTCAGATGAAATTAGAGGTACACTGACTCTTGGATTATCAATGAAAATGGAACAATCATCGAAATTTTAAAAAAATCAAAAATTCATATGAATCAAATGTTTCAAGAATCGCGCAGTCGTGCTATCAGAATTGAAAGTGATTTAAGTCATCTTGGTGGAGTTAGATGAGAAAAAAATCGATTGACAGGTGGGGTGTCTGCTCTCGTCATCAAGCCGAGAATTGTCGTAATAGGCTAGTGAGAAGGCTAGTGAGAAGGAAATTAGCATGGGAACATATGAGAAAGTAGAGATGCAGAGGTTTGATGAATCTTGAGTCTCATGCATCGGATGCGAGCGTGTGTAGGTGTACACGTGCGTGTTTAAAGCATTGTAAGTATGGAACATCGTTTGACGTTTTTTGACAGAGTGCATTCAGATGGTTATTGCCAAATTCCAATGTACTGAGTAAACAATATCATAACAACTTTTCATCTCTGATCATTTAATTGACATTGTACCATTGAAATTGTATCATCAAAGGGAAGACTATAGCATGAGCATATAATCTATTCAACGTAATGATAACTGATTACTTTGATAAGGTGCCGTTCATTGATATCATAATCATCCTGGATCAAGTAAAGATGCACGTGAAAGACGACTGATACAATTGAGATGTTCGATATCCTTAATTTCAATGCAGCCGAATCGCTCTGAAGAGCAAATCGCTTTCTAGCGATGAGGTAATTGAGAACAGATGTAACAAAACAGCTGAATGAATATTATTAAGTATCCCTGCATGCAAACATCGAAACGATTGACAATATCCGAACAGAACAGAGCAGAATATGATTTCTAAGATGTGAATAGAAAGAATGAGAACACCATATGGGGGCAAATATGTTCTAATACACTATTTCGACGCTTGATTAGGGCTGTGTTGAAACTGCTTCAATAATTCGTCATTATCACTGTCTAATTAAAATCTGTGTTACAGCACATCAAACAAAACTGACATAAAAATATCAATCTCATCTGTGATTTTCTCTTCAGAGTAGAGATTATACCAGTCTCACAATTGCACTGATATAAATATTTCGTATTGTTCATGACCTCCATAGTCACATCCCGTTCGGCTTCACCTTGAATGAAACGATCGGAAATCATTACTAGATTTGAGCACATAAACCTGAGAAGACCGACTGTTTGAAAATAATAACTCTCAAACTGCTATGCTAATGAACGATCAATATAAATATACTGTATTGAAATGGGCGAAGCCGAGCAACTGAGACAAATTCAGAAAATCAGCTATTCCTCAGAAAGTGAGCAGAATTGCCCTACAAAATATATACCTTAATAAAAGCAGAGAATCTAAGGAATCTGACAATGATCAGAAAATAACCGTTAATCTTGATATGGTAACCCCTTTAGCGCTATAGTTGTGTATCTATATATCTAGAATGATACAATACACGAATGAGCGCCTCTGCGCCAATTGAGATAGCTTAAAAAATAGCCATATCTCCTCAAGTAAGCAGAATTGCTCAGCAAAACACTCGATTTTCTGAATCTAGAGGTTCTGCTGGATCTAACAGTGAAAATAAATTCGCATGTTTCCGGGCAAACCT